ACCACAGGACAGAGGGAAGAGTTTTCAAACCCCAGCAGTGTCTGTACTGACTCCTTGTGCCTCTCCAAGTCTCCCCACACCAGTTGGAGCACCAGTGCACAGGAAAGATTAGAGCTTTAGGCTGGGGGAGCAGGAGTTCACTGCCATCCCTTTTAAGTTTCCTAAGGTGATGCTGGCCCCTGGTGGTAGGCAGGCTTAGCCATACCTCTACCCAGGACTGCCTTGCCCAAATGACACATGGCTGTGCCTGGAAAGGAGCAGTCAGGGCTGCAGTTTTGGGGAAGCACATGTGGGCAAATGTGCTGATCACCACAAACCACTCCTGCAAGTCACATCCTTCAGGGTTAGCATGACAGAAACTGCTTGGCACAGGGCACTGCCACCTCAAGGGACAGCGTCCACAAGAAGCAGGTGCTACTAAGTCAGCAGCTAAAATCTGCGAGGGAGAGAAGGTGCTAGAAGGCAGGGCAACAACTGGGGACCTTCCTCAATAACACAAGATAAAAAGTACATTCTGTGGCAGAACCTGCGTGGAGATCTCTGCTCCCTCCCCCACCTAGCACAGTACAGACAACAAGAGGAGGCATACCTGTCATCCCTGGAGTTCTCTTCTGTCCAGCTTGGCCTCTGCCTCCACCTTCACAGCTGGCTCTGGCGGCACCTCAGCAGATCCTGAGATTTCAGCTCTAGCATCTTCCTGTTCACAACCACCATCCTTTCAGAGCTCCCATTGCATCGCTACATGCAGCCTCTGTGCAGGCTGCTCAGATAAGTGAGGACAGAGGGTTGAGTCCAGCCCTTCACAGATCACATGCTGTTTACCACCCTGCACCCTTACTGTTCTCAGCCCAGCTTTTGCCAGGCCAGTCCTCACAGCTGCTGACACCAAATGGCCACATGTGCTGGGCACTCACTCACCAAGATGCAACATGCTCCAGCAGGGGGCTACGTTACACCACTGCCCAAGTCTCTGCCAGGAACATAGGGCTGCAGTGTCCCAGGCCTCCCAGGCTGCAGGACAGCATGGCCCGAATCACGGGCCACCTTCCTGGGGAGCACAATGGCTGGGAGATCTTGGTGCAGACCAGCAATGCCTGCAAAGGAGTCAGTCAGTCCAAAAAGCCTCAAGGGAGGCTTCATGCAACAAGCCTCACAGAAATAAAGGCAGTCCTGGAGAGATTTGCCCTTCAGTACCTCCCACCTTGCATAGATGAGAGAGGAACAAGGCAGGCTGGACCTCAGACCATGTATAGGGATAAGAGTCAATGGCATCTGAGCCTCCCCAAAAAATACAGGTGCCTCTTGCTTGTGAGGCATCTGCAAAACGCTTCCCCACTGCAGATGAAGAGGTGGTAGTGGTGCTGGAGAGGAACAGGGAACACTTACTTGCCATGCTGCCTGGCTCGGCTGCAGGGGACTCCCACCTACCTGCAGGGAAGAAAATAGGAGAGTCATCAAGAGCTTCAATTGCAGCCCAGCAGACACTAAAGCCTGATCCCTCCACCATCCTGGGTCAGAATGATGCAGAAAGCAGGGTGCTATCTGTAGACCCATGAAACTGTCAGCCCAACCTTGCAACCAGCTAATCTCCTAACCTTTGAATTCACAGAATAAAGAATGCTTAGAAAGCGACAGTTCCTCTGAGAGAAGCAGACTCCAATACACCCAGCACCAAGAGCAAAAGGGAGAGTCACCCATTCACGGAAACAAGGCACAGCCGAGGACCATGTAATTGGTGAGTGATCAACAATGCTTTGCTGAACACAGAGTACACCTGACACCAGAGCCTCCCTCTGCCTGGCATGCTTGCTACCATCAGCTGCCCATGGCAGGTGCCTGCAGGACCTATGCTGCCCCAGGAGGCAAACACACAAGCTAACTAGGAAGATCAGGATCAGCATATAGGACGACCTGAGAGTTGGAAGCTGCTGGGAACAGACTGGTGCTCTTCCCTCCCAGACAGGATTGATGGATACAGATAAACTCATTTTGCATCCATTGCACAGTCATGTAAATTCTCACTTCTGTAACGCTTACCCACAGTATGCAGTAAGGATGGCTGGATTGTTTTCTCCATTACCATCAAGCTGAGTATTTAGCAGGAGAGAAAAGGATATGCATGTCCTAAAGGTTGTTTGACAAAGCTCAGAGCAGCAGCAGCACTCCCTGCATATTCAGGATGCCAACTCTCCTGCTAGAAAAGCACCTTTCACACTTCAAAAACAAAACAAAAAAAACTCCACAACAGTGAAGTTCAGTAAAGGAGTAAACTATTATCTGCTTGCAGGAGGAATTCCACTCATTTATTTTCCACTTGTCTTTTCACTGCGCTTAAGATCCCACAGATCAGACCATCCTGGCCAAACTCATCTCTCACCTTCCATGACTCCTTGCTGTGACAAAACCACAACTCCATCAAAAGACTGAGCCAGCTCCCACAGGGATGTATTGTGGATGTAGCTGCAAAGGCAGTTTAGAAACAGCAGGAACTAAAATGAGCTGATCTGAGGTCCAGGACTGCAGATATTCAGAGTAATCCCCAAAGCGCTTCAATTAGCTCTCTGCTGGGGTGAGGTCAGTGGCTGTACAAAGCCATCCGCTGGGTCAGCAGCACAGGAAACACACTTCCCATTTCACTCAAAAGGCTGGAATCCAGGCACACAACAGTGCTGGTGTATTGCTACATCAGGAGGTATCAGATCTCACCAACAAACACCTCCTCAGTAAAGCTAATGTCTCTCACTGCCAAAATCAGGCTTCACATGTTTTTTGTACCAAAAGCAGTAAGAAACCGGCGATGCTTGGAGCTGCTTTCCATCAGCAAAGAACAGTTTATTTTAAACAGACTGAGAAATTCTGCAACACCTAGCCTGGGATTTAAACAGGACAGAGGGAAAGCAACAGAACAATTACATGTGACAGATTTGCCATCTCGCACTCCCCAGGCTGGGCATTCATCCACGTTTCTCTTCACAAGGAATGGAACACTTGATCTTGCTCCTCCAAACCACATTCCCAAGTCTGATGGGAGCACACAGGCTGCAGGAGCCGCACATTCCCTTATAGGTTCTGTCAGCTGTGAGCAGATACTGACCTGATTTTGTTGCTGTCTGTTTTAATGAAGAAACTCAAATCCTCTGTATCAAAGAACAGGCTGCAAAGAAAATTTGCCCCAGCATCCACACAGTACACAAACTTCGTACCACTCATTATTACAGGCAATGAGCATCACACCTTTTCTACCTGATACACACGAGAATTCGAGTTGCGGAAATAAACATATTCAAGACTAGACTTGCCAGGATCCCAGGCTCCACGAAGCACGCTTTACATTCATGGAGCCTGACACCGCAGGCATAAAAGTACAGTAATGATCAATTTCATCACTTTTAACTTTTTTTTCCCCAAACATCTGTGCCAATGCACCACCCAGCGTCAGAAACAAGAGACTGTTTATTCCAGCACAACAATAAGCCTGCTCTGCACAAGCCTGCAAGCACAAGAGCTGCCTGCTCGGGCGCATGCAACAAGGGTGAGCAACACGGGTATTTATTTTTAATTTCCACACGCAGATCCATGGCCGCCCCCAGGTGAGATAAGTGGGAGGGCCGGCAGCCGGCGAACAGCACTGCCTGAGCACCCACCCTCCGTATGAAAGAAGCTGGAGGCTGACCCGGCAGACACCCACCCAGCCCCGTCCGCCCCACGCTTCTCAGCTCTCCTCTATAAATACCCCACCGACGGGAGGTTGCTACAGCAACGGCGAGGAGGCGCGAGGGATGCGTCCGTGAGTGCGAGGATGCTGCAGTCGCACATTCGTGTCTCCCCCGGGCTCCCCCCACCCCCCTCCCTGATGCCAAAGGAGGAAATCGTGCTGGCAAAGCCCGGCGCGCGATCCCAGCCCGCAGAGTCCAGGGTAAGGGCACAGGTGTGACGAGGGACCGACCGGCGCCACAGCCGTGATCCAGCCAGCGGGGATTCCTCCCGCTCCCCAGCGATGCTCTGTGCCAGGATCCACCACGCGGTGCCAGGCTGCGCCCGCTCCGCACGCCAGACACCGCGGGGGCCCGAAGCTTCACCTCGCGGCAGCCTTCGATGCGATGCCGCGGCCCGGCCCCGCGCCGCCCGGCCCCCTCCCTCCACGCCCAGACCCCGGCCCCATTTGTCGCCCTCGGCTCCGGGCGGCCCCACAGAACGCGCCAGGGGGAAGCCGGACCCCACAGCACCTCCCGCACCCAGCCAGGCCCGCCCTGCCCGCAGCTCCCCCAGCCCATACACCGACCTCCAGCCCTGGCATCCCCCCCCTCCACACACACAGAGCCTCAACGCCCCAGCCCGAAGCCCACCCCATACCCTCAGCCCCAGTACCCCACATCACCCCGAGTTCCCCCGCCGCCCCACAGCCCGCCTCACGCCGCCCCGCCCGTACCTCATGGCGGCCTCGCGCCCCGCCGCAGCCGCTCCCTCCCGCCGACGGGCAGGAAGAGGAAAGCTCCGCCCCCCTCCCACCTCTCAGCCAATCACATCCCCCCCTCAGCCAGCACGCCCCGCCTCCTCCTCCGCCTCTACAATTAGAAGCGCGGAGTGGAAAAGTGGGCGGGCCTACGAGCCTTCCCCAATCAAACGCGGACTCTGTGAACGTGCAGCCAATGGGAGAGCGCGATGCGGCCGCCTAGGCTGCTGGGAGTAGTAGTCCCACGCCCGCTGCGGCGCAGCGCTTCGTGCTGCGGGCGGCGCTGCGGAACCACGATCGGGGATCGGTCACCGCCTGCGGGCGGCCCCGCCCCGCCCCGCCCCGCCCCGCCCCGCGCCGCACACCGCGGAGGCCGTTGGAGTTTCACGCGCTTTATTTCTCCACAAACTGACTGCCGGCGCCGCTGGGCTCTGCACCGCGCTCAGCGTCACGGCTGCTCGAGCGGCCGGACCCGGCTCACGCTGCCCCGCCGCACCAAGGCCCCGCGCTGCCCTACGCCTCGGTCATCCTCCATCCCCGTGCCACGTGTGCTGCGTTCAGGCCGGCCGCGGGGAGCCTGCCCCTAGCGCGGGCACAGCGCCTCCGGCCTCGCCTTCGTTCCCTTCATCCCCATCTTCATCGTCATCTTCTGTCTCATCCCCCTCGCTGTCTGAGTCATCGTAGAGGCACAGCGTGGCCTGCACCGGGAAGTTATCCAGCAGCTTCTCCCCCACGCTGTACAGATAGTCAAAGCACCTGGATTTGGGCCACAGGAGCCTGTTGGCGAGAATCACCGTGAGAACCTGCCTGTCCTAGCTGTGGGCATGGCGTCGGCACGGGGACGTACCTGACCGGATGGCGGAACAGTGCTAGCGCTTTGTCAGTGCTGTGGTCTCCTGCAGCATCGAGGCGATGAGCCTGTGGGAACAGAGCCGGGCTGGGACCTGCCCCATATCCCTGTGCCCCTGCTCCTGCCGTGGTTGCAGTGACACAGACCTCCTTCCTAACATCAGAGGTTTACACACCACCTCACAGCCCCTGAGCAGTGTGTCTGTGGGGCCAGACCGCATCCCAATTTTCCCTGCTCCTCTGCTGAATGGATTCAGTTCCCTGCGCTCCCGCAAAGGAAGCTGGCATCTAAACCCCACACGAGGGCTTTTTGCCAGAGTAATCTCCCCCATTGTGCCCACGCGTCCTGCTAACCCCCTGAGGAATGCCCGCCAGGCCGGGAACAGGCATCCCTTTCAGACCCCACAGAGCAGCTGTGTTTGCTGCAGTTGGCACTGCCCCAGCAGGCTGTAGGCTTGGGGAGTGGAGAGGAGATGCTGGGGAATGTGGGTACCCAAAGTACTCCCTGCTCACCCCCTTATTGCAGCTACCCTCCCGTGGGCTTTGGGGAGGATGTCAGGGTGCAGGTGCCTGCTCTGTACCCTCTGCTCAGCCCTTGCAAGGGATAAAGGAGTCTGGGGCCAGAGGCTGGTGACCCCAACGCTGCCAATGGAAAAAAAAAGTGGGTCACAGCAGGAAGAATAAAACTCACAGTGTCCATCTGTTCCCTCTGCTGCCTGGTCATGAATTCCTCCTGGGGCAGCCATGGTCTCCAGAGTGGCTTGGGTCTCGGGGAGGACAGAAAGATGAGCACAGTGGGCACCCTGCATTTTCCTCCCCGCTTGCCTTGCTCACCCACACCCCAGCCACACACCCCAGTTTTGCCAGTACATCCACGACCCCTGCCCTGGTGCCAGGCATATCCACCACCCCACTTGTGGTCCCTTCCCTGCAGGAGCTCCCAGATCCTAGGCTCTGCACCTTCAGTGCTGGGATCGTGGGAGTCCGCACCTAAACCAGGAGCACACGGCCTTCACCCAAACTCACCTGGAGCCTTCCCACATAGCCATTGCTGCCCACTCCAGCCCCCCCACCCATTCTGCACCCAAAGTACCTTCCCCTCTGCTGCAGCCCCGGGGCTGGGCAAGCACCAGCTGTGGGCAACGGGAGCCGGTGGAGAGGCAGGCAACAGGCAGCAGCTTCCATGGTGGCAACGGTGTCCCCTCCAAGGCTGGAGGTCCTTTGTGAGGATAGCTTTATATATAGCTGTGCCCTCACCAGTGACTCACAAATTCTTTGTGGCAGGAGAGTGTTGGACTGGGGGCTCAGGGGTAGCAGTCCCCAGGGTGTGAAATTTGTCCCAGTTGTGTAAACAGAGGGCTGGGGGGGACTGGAAGCAGGGTGTTGTGGAAAAGCAAAACACAGAAGGGAAAAGTTAGACACCATTTGTGAGAAAGTCCCCAGGAGGGCTCAGGGGGGTGTGGGGGGAAACAGGGTAGGGCAAAGACAATTAACAAGGATGATTAAGTGTTCTTAGTAGCCATTTGCATAAGGGAGAGGGGATTTGGGGAATTGATCAGGAGTGCTGGAGCATCACGACGGGCAGGGGATGAGGATGGCATGATGGTGACAGTGTGATGTCACCAGTCCCAAGGTGAGTGGGACACAGACACAAGGCAGCTTCTCCCCAAGCTTTAGCCTTGCAGGGCTGGGCACAGCTGCAGCACAAAGCTGGCAACCAAAAGCAGTAGCACAACTCAGAGCTGGCTGTCCCCTCCCAGCAGAATGGTTCAGTATGATCTGCTAAAGCGATGTCCATGCCCGCAGCAGAGCAATTGGATTAGATGGTCTTTGAAGGTCTTTTCCAGCCCAAATAATTCTATGATTCCATAATTTACTGCTGCAGTGTTTGCCAATGATCTCCCTAGGCTCTCTGGGATGCAGACAGTATCAGGAGGTGCAGGAAGGATTCTCAGTAGGAGGATGCAAAGGTCATACCTCTATGCATCCCACCCCTCGTGCTGCTCCTGACTGGGCACTTGATGCGAGGTGCCACTTGCAGGCAGGTCACCCCCCGATCCTGGGAGAGTTTCAGTTTGAGACAAGGAAAGAAAATAGCAAATGGTCCCTGCTGTAGCTCTGCCAGCAGTGTCCAAACATTGGCCAGGATTGGCTTGGCTCTGAGCACAATTTGTCACCAGGGGCCCTCCCTGCCCCAGTCCATCTGCAGCAGCCGGGGAACGGGAGGGGGCACGGCACGAGCAACAGCCCTCATTACCGTCCCCATTTGCTCCTCATTTGGGCCAGGAGTCTTACAATAACAAACCCTGCAGAGGACAAGCAAGGCTGGAGAGTTCAACCTGCTGGTCTTTTGCTGCCCTGTGATCCCAGCACACAGCTTGGCAGGGACGGGATTCAGCGTAGAAGATGGAAATGCTGTGGTTGTCCGTCTCTTGCGGTACTGGTGTGCTGTGGGACACCTTGGTAACTTGCACACTGCATTGCCCTATGCCCAGCTTGATCTCCAGCCACTCTCTTCTAGCACTGGCCAAAACAGGTCTCAGGGGCTGTTGAACCCCGCAGGAGAAAAGTCCCCTCTGCGCCCCTGCCAGCCGGGCATCACCACTGACAGCAAAGGGCCCCTGGAGCCAGTGCAGATGGAAGGCAAGGGAGGAATTTGGCTTCATCTCTGCAGCCAGTTTCCATCCTTGGCTCTGCTCCCTTCACTCCACCCCATCTCTTCTCACCGCCTTTCCTCCACACACCACTGCCCCCGCCCTAGCCTGGTATCCCAAGCCACTTAGGCAACCACCTACCCTGATAATTAATAAAAAACAAGCAAAACAAGGCATCCCAGCTCCTCAATCCTTCCTGACACCGAAAGGGTTTAATTCTGATCTGCAATAAGCCTCCAGGCTGAGATTTGTGGATGGATTTTGCAAAGCCGAGGTGAACCATTCACAGTCCCTGATCCCCAGCCCTGACGAGCCTCTTCCTGTAGGACTGCAGCTGCCCTCGGTCCCGCACCACATCTCCAGCCATCTCTGTAAGTACACAGTCCCTCGCATGCCCCAGTTTGCCAGCCCCCAAAACCTGAGTGTTAGTTCTGTAACAGCACCCATAAGATTGAGTGGCTGTATATTGGGTTGCACGTGGGAAAGGAGATGAAAGTCGGGAAATTTTGATAGTAAACATTTGATGTTCCAAGGCCGGGGAAAGGGAATGGAGGCTCTGGGAGGGGTGCACCCTCAGCCGGCAACTTTCCCAGGGCAGGAGGCCACTGGCCAGGCAGTATCTGTGTGGTTTGCTGTTTCGCAAGAACCACAGCAGGGGGAATTTTGAAACAAGATGAAGGAAAAACAAACCGCCCCGTGTCTGCCAGATCCCTGTTGCCCACCCCCAGCTGGGGCAGAAAAAAGCCCCATGGCACTAGCACCCACATGGGGAGCACACACTGCCTGCTGCAGGACAGAATGCTCCCAGGAGCTGGCATGGACTCACCATTAACACACTGTGTCCAGTGCATTGCTGTCCTTCGTGAACCTCCGGGCTCTCCTAGGGATGTAGGTGTTGCTGTCACCTGCCATTCCTCCCTTTCATCATCACATGGGAAGGCTGATAGCTGTGATTCAGCCTCAGGAGAACACATCCCTTGGCCCCATTCCTGCTGGATTCTCTGTGGGGTGGGGGGATAGCAGCAGATGCTTTAGGAACCCCATTCCTCTGCTGAGAAAACCTCAGGGCCACCACTCTGAAGCACCTCCAACAGTTCCAGACAAACAACATGCAGCCACAGTGTTTTGGCTTCTTTTTTGCCTTGAAACAGGGAAAGATAAAGATTAGCTGAGTTTGCAAAGGCAGCTGGAGGAGTGCACAGCAGCAAAAGAATATTTCCATTAAGCAGGACACAGGGTGAAGGAAGAGGTGGCTGGGGAGGCTTGCACCAGGAGACACCATGCATTAAGAGATGCCCCAGCAGAGACCTGATGGGGACCAGCCAGCTCCCCATCCTGCCCACAGCACAAGGAGGGGCTTTGGCGGCCTGCCTGGGCTCCGCTGTGCTGCCTATTGAAGCCTGCCTGCGAAGATAACAGAGGTGAAAGGGTGCTTGGCGATTCTCTGCAGGCTCGAGTCAATCGTTAATCGGGGAGGGATTGCTTTCCACTCTTGCAGGTAACCTCTCCTCCCCCCGGCTCCCCCCACGCGCCCGTGCCCTCACAAAACCAACACCCACAGGAGTGGGGTGAAGCTTCAGCACAGCGAGAGGAGCCGCTAGCAGGGCCATGGGAAGGTAAACGTGCGGGAGAGGTGACACCCGGCCCAACCATGGTCTCTATGGGACTCCAGCTGGTGGGCTACATCGTGGCCTTCCTGGGCTACATCGGCACGCTGACAACCACGCTGCTGCCCAGCTGGAAGATCAGCTCCTACATTGGCTCAAGCATCGTGACAGCTGTGAGCTTCACCAAAGGGCTATGGATGGAGTGTGCTACATATAGCACGGGCATCACTCAGTGCGACATCTACAGCTCCCTGCTCAACCTGCCTCCTGACATCCAGGCAGCCCAGGCCCTGATGGTGAGCTCCTGTGCCGTCTCCTCCCTTGCTTGCCTTATGGCTGTGGTGGGCATGAGGTGCACCGTCTTCAATCAGGGCTCCCCAGCCAAGGACCGAGTGGCAGTGGCGGGTGGTGTGGTCTTCATCCTTGGGGGGCTGCTTTGCTTCATCCCACTGGTGTGGAACATCCATGTGGTGCTGCGAGATTTCCACAACCCCCTGCTCCCCGACAGCACCAAATTTGAGTTGGGGGTAGCTCTATACCTGGGCATCATCTCCTCTCTGCTCTCCCTCATTGGTGGCTTCATCCTCTGTGCCTCCTGCCCTCCCCGTGACCCATCTGGCCCCTACTCGCCCTGGCTGCTGGCAAGCAGGAGTCCCCAGCCCTCCATCAAACAGGTGCAGAAGCCCAAGAGTGAGTTCAGCTCCTACAACCTGACGGGATATGTGTAGCAGCTGCAGGGCACCTGGTCAGCACTTTTCCTAACTCCCAAAACACCTGGGCTGGCACCGAGGGCACACAGTAAGAGGAGAAGATGCAGCGGTGTCTCCCACGTTCGTATATTTTGCTCGGGGATCTTGACATATGACTGCTCAGAAATCTCAGCTGTGAAGGACCCTGAGTCCAGCTTCTGTTACCACTTTGCTGCCATCAGCCTGCTGGAGCTGCCCCTGCAAGCCAGCTGGAAGCACACCCATAGCCCCTGCACGGCAGTCTTCTCATGGCCAAACTCCATCCTGCAGCCCACAGCCCAGCAAGGACAGTGAAATTGTGCCGCTGGGGCTCACCTGCTCATCTGTGGCTCTGGAGACACCAGGGGGGGATTAGGGCACCCACAGGAGCCCAGAATTTTGGGGGGACAGTGGGGGGATGGAGTATTGATTGCAAGCTGATATCACAATAAATCTGTGTTTCTAGATGGGCTGCGATTGAGCTTTTCTGTGGTACTAAGGAGTACCCCAGCACCTCACCAGTGTCAGGGCAGGCTCTGGCAGGGCCATGCTCACCTGTCTGCTTCATCCATCCTGCAAAGATGGATGCAAAGGGAGCCCCATCCCTTGCTCTTGGCCATAAAGGAGATGAAATGAAACACAGAGGGGTCTTGCAGGTGGGTCTAAGCCTGTGGGTTCCTGCAGGGGCAGGTTTGGGATGGGAGGGCAGGGTCAAACCTGCTCCCTGCAACCCTTTAGCACTGGCAGGATGTGCTGTGCAGCTGCAGCCCCAGCAGCCGGCAAGGTGATGCTGCACAAAGCCACTTGTGCCAAGGCAAGGGGGACAGAGGGAGGGTGCAAGGTGTCCATGAAGGAGCGAGCACTTTTTAACCCTCAGGCCATCTCCTTTGTCCCTTGGTACCACATCCCACTGCCGGATGCAAGATAACCCCTTTGCCCAGGGAAGTTTGGTCCACCTGCCAGCCCATTATAAAAGGATTTAGATTAGGTCCCAGAAAAGAGGGCACCAAGTTCCCTGCTGAGGCAGGCTCCCCACCGAGACATCATCGTTAACCTTGCGTCAGTGAAACTGCATTTACCTGTAGGGCTAACGCTCCTGATAACAGTGTGAGTCACACTTTCTTCCTTCCTCACCAAGAAAGATGCTCATTATCAGGGACCACAGTGGATTTCAAGGCAAAGGCCTTGCACCTGCTTTTCCAAAGCCAGATGACAAAGCTGAGTTACTCACTGCTGCTTTGGGAGAGGGCTGAGGTGATGGGGGCTGCTGTGCAGAGCAAGCAGGTGCTGCAGCGCACGGCCACACGAGTTGCCATGCTCAGTGAAAGGCACTGCCTTTCATTCAAGGCTTTCACTGTGAATGTTTTGCTCCTTGGCAGCTATTCCAGAGAGGAGGCAAGAAAATATTTGGCAAGAGACTTCCTGCTGGAGGAGAGGAAGAATGCTCTGCCCTCGCTCCTCACTCCTACTCAGGGCTGACAGCATGGCCTGTGTCTGTGGGCAGATGCTGGCTTAATTAAACACGTGTGCGATGGAAACACTCTACTCAGAGTTTTACCACTGCTGGCCTTATTAACATTGTCATTTGAAAATCAGAAAGGAGGATTTCTGGCTCCTGCACACCTTCCCTACGGAGCAGCATGGTGCAGCCAAAACCAATAATGGGAATGCCTTCAGTTTGGGCATGTGAGCACTGGGCTGTGGCACTGCTTGGGAGTGTGCTGACCCTGGGGAAGGTTTCTGGGGTGCAGCCCCACTGCAGGCCCCAAGTGCCCTGCAGCAGAAACAAGGGTTTCTCTCTGGCCCATGCAATTGATTGCTATCCCTTGAGCCAGGAAGTTTTCCCCTGTCCAATTTCTGTGGGCTCTATCCAAGCTGAATGCACCCAGAGAAACTTGGCTCCAGGGAAAGGCAGGCTGGAAAAGATTTTCCTCTTCTAAGAACAGGAGTGAAAACAAGGAATATGAAGGACAGCAGGAGCATGAATGCAGCAGTGGTTATCTCTGCCTCATGCAATAGCCATGTTCCCCATTAGTCAGATAAGGTGGGTCCTTGGGGTCAGGCTGGATGCAGCCCAGCCCAGGGCCAGAGAGGACGGCAGTCGGGATGAGGCCATGCCTTTGGGCAGCGGAGCCAGGCAGGCAAGGGTGCAGGGTCAGCCCCACAGCTCCTTGCCTGCACAGCGGGAGCAGGGAGGGCACAGAGTGAGATCATATAAGGGGACGTGAACAGGAGGGGTGGGATGGTGCGCAGACAGCAGGGTGACTTCGTAGGATGGAAGGAGCCCGGGTGCTGGTGACTAATCCTCTGTCGTAAGGAGAGAACTTCCCCTCTTACTCCCGACAGTGCCTCAAATGAAGAAAGGGGGCAATAAAGAATTAACATGCCCTTATCTTCAGAGGAGGTAGAGGTGCCATAAATGCCTAGCACACAAACCTGCAGCTGCACCTGGGCCGTGGGCTGAGACCTGGAGGGACAGTTATAAAACACGTCTTTCAGTCACATCACCCCCTTCCCACCTCCCTGGATCAGGGGGGCTGAATGTGAGCTAGCAATGTGCCCAAATAGCCGAAAAGGCCAAGGGCATCCTGGCTTGTACCAGAAATAGTGCAGTCAGCAGGAGGTGATCATCTCCTTGCACTCAGCTCTGTGAGGCCGCACCTCAGCTGTGTTCAGGATTCAGACCCTCACTACAAGAAAGACACTGAGGCTTTATAGTGAGTCCAGAGAAGGGCAGTGGAACTGTGAAG